TAAAGGGACATATTAAATAATGAGTTTCTTAAGAAACATTACAAAATAGTGCTATGAAATATGTAAATCTACTGTTCCTTTTTTTTTCCTCTTTCCCCCCCCCCCCCCCCCTTTTTGTGCTGAGGTGTGATTTCAGCTGTTTTAAAAGTATTTGCAAAACTGGGTCAAATTCAATAACTAACTTCTACTTAAAAATAAATAAATAAAATGCTTGTCAGATTTACAAACCAGCAGAAGTGGAAACGTTCTTTGGGCTAAGAGGGCAGGAGGGGGAGGCTGGAACATACATGCACAGTTTATGTTCCAGTTTTAACAGGAGCAATGGGAGCTTTAGAAACAAACTTCAGACAGAACACCAGAGCTTTAAAAAGACTAGCCCACATGGCATCACTCTGTTATATTTTTATTTAATTTGTTGACAGATGGTTTTGCAGGGTTATGTAAATGATAAAAGCATTTATTATTATTATTATTTTTTTATTTTTTTTTTAATAGGAAGCTCATTTCTTCTGTAAAGGTAATGGTGGTTTTTCATTCAACTCACTTCACTTTACCAACACACAACGCCCTTCATACATTTGCCACTATCCCCACAAATTGTCTTCTTTTAGCCCACTATGATTTTCTATCAGTGGGTTTTTTCCTACTTAAAGCCCCAGTTTCTACATTCTATGTTATTGTTGCATTTCCAAATAGATACAACCTGGTCTATGAAACCAGCTTGAGTCTGTGCAGAGGTTCAGCCATAGGCTCTGATCCATGTGTGCCTGATGGGGATCAGACCTCTCCTGGTGCATAGGTGAGGGGAGTGCTGGCGCTCCATCCTGCAAAGGAACCTGCTTTACATGCTCCAAAATCTGCTCTGGAAACCAAACCATAGAAGTGGGAACTGCCAGGGATTTGCTTCAAGACTGTTACTGCTTCAGAACAAAATGCTAATGTAGGTAGAGCCCAATGCAACTGATGTAACTGAGAACTCTTTTGTGACATCAGCATAATTACTATTCAGTCCATAACTACATTCATCCTGACCTAGCACACACATAGGTTGTCAGTTTTGCTGTTGTTGTTGCTTTGTTATTATCATTTGTTCTTCAGATTACTCTGTTCTTTGTTTTTTAGGATTTTTGAAGAAATTACTTCTGAGTGAGAAGTGCATTAATTTTTTTTAGAATCTCATTTAGAGAAACATAATAGTTCATCCATGATACAACAATTCATTTTGTCTTGTGTACAAAAGTGGTTTAAACTTTATTTTATTGAGCAATATAAATCCTCTTATCTTTGCAAACTGGAAAATAAATTGCGTGAAATTAGTACTTGGGGAAACATATCCTGTATTCTCTGTGTAGCTTGTTTCCTCTGGTAACAGGAAAATGTGTATGTTGTTTACCTCAAAATAGTCAAAATGATGTGCAAGTGTCATGAATATGAGAACTTTTATTAACTTGACTGAATGAACAATGTTAATTTCAGCACAGAAAGTAAAATCAAATGAAAATAAAAATTAACAAAATTCATTCTCTATTTTTTCTTTATTTTTTCTTCAGGTGATATGTAGGACTGCATAGGTGGCTGTATTATTAGTGAGTGACAAAATATTTTTACTTAAGGAGAGGGATAGAAGACATAAGCCTGAAAAATTACGGGCCCTCCACTTCTGGAAACACTATTTCACCCCTGGCTAGCTTCTCTACACTCCTGCAGTAGCAGCCTTAGAGCAAGCCTTCCTCCCCCCACTGATTCCTCAGGCAATTATTATTGCTTTCAGCAGAATGAATATAGCTTTGGCTAGTTGATTAAATATGCATGAAATTAGTAAGAAAAGCAATTTTTTCTGCATGCCCAGTATTGAGACAGAAAGGTCTGAAGGATCTGTGAAGGTGCTTCCATCTTGAGATGTGCCTCTTTTGGCTCTCCTCTGCCTGATGCAGGTAAGAACATGCTGTTTCTGGATTGCTTTTTCCTATCTGCCCTTTCCTATCTTATACAATAACGAAGAAAAATGATACTATTTTATGCAACTTGGGACTTGCTCCTGTATTATATCTTTAGTAATTTTTTCTTTAAAACTTCTCAATTTACTTTAATAAAGAATATTACATCAGCATTCTCACTGCTGCACCATATATATTATTAGGACAACCTTGATTTCTCCTGCTCTCTTTCTGTGGTACATTGTAATTTCTGAGGCTTTTTTTATTCTAATTAATTATAGGATGTTGGGAGTTATTAGCTTGGGGCTTGTGACTTATAAGTGATATGGGGTTGGTGTTCTGTAGTCCTGTTTAAACTAACTGTGCGTTTTTGCATTCAGACACAGCCAGCTAGACTCCTTGGCTGCACCAGTTTTATTTTTATTAAAATAAAAAAGTTCTATTTTTTATTAAAAAATAAAGGCAGGAGGAAAGCTCAAGCACAGGATCTGGGGCCATCCCCACTGCTTCCCTGCTCACACACTCCCAGCCATGCATTCACTTTGGGCAAGCTGAGGCTACCAGTGCTAATATCCAACCATGGTGCAGGAGGCAGCACCAGTTGGGTAGCAAAGGGGGTGCAATTACATGTCCTTTGCCCTACAGACTCCCCAGAAAGCATCCCACAAAGTTCACAAATGAATGTCTGTACGTGTCATCCCTGTTACGCAGCACAATCCTTTCATTTCTGTTGTAAGAACTCCAGTCTGAAGGGACACAACAATGCCCTCGTGTGATGTCCAACATCTTGGACTGGGGATGGGGGGAAGCAACAAAAGTAATAATGATGTCTTAGACAACAGGAGCCTCACAGGATTACCCCTTTGGGCCATAAGTTACATAGCCTAATATAGTTTAGTGTACGTACTTGGCCTGAGAAAATGGCATGCAGCTATGTGTTTCACTTAGCAGTACAAGCACAGACCCTTCTCCAGATGGTTTCTGATATCTTCCTATAATGCAAAATTATATTTGCCCCTCCTAGTCTTATTCCTGCACTTAAATGCCATACTGAAACATTAAAAACCTAACATAACTGGAAATTTTTAAACACAGGTTATACACATTTGAGATAAAGCAATCAAAGTGGATTGGGTGGATCCTAAAGTAATTGCACTCCTGTGACAGATTCTTTTCACTGTCACTGATTATCTACTTCACAATGGCTATTCTTTAATTTTACATCCTCAATAATGGTTATTTTTTAAGATGGAGAAGTTTTGGATGAGAATGTGGTGCATGATAAGGCCACAGGGCTGAGGAACTGTCCATGAAACTAGAAGTTAAAAATTACGTTACCATACACAATTTTCACCACAAATAACCTATAAAAGCTAATTTACATTACTACTAGCTAAAACTAACCAAAACCTTTTGTTTTTGTTTGTTTATACTTAAAATCAGGCTGATATTAATCCCTAATATCTCATGACTTCTTTTGAACTTCTTTTGGAAATTTATACTCTTCCTATGCCAGTAGCATTATTGTTCCATTTCTTGACTTTTTAATAACAAGGTATTAGAGAATTGCCTGTCCTAAGCATATGTCATGTGAAGTGTCTAAAAGTCTGAAAGAAAAAAAAAATCTAATTTTTTTTAAGCTGCATTTGCAACTTGTGTTGGAATGCCAGATTTGCTGGCACGGTTTTACAGCTGAGAAGAGGGGATTTTAAAATAGTATTGGATAACCATAGGAACAAATAAGAAATATAGTGTCTTGTTATGGTAAGATAAGACATGATCTATGAGGCCTCTGCCTCATGCATATCACTATTTCTGGTGATACTGGAATGTGTTCCCAGTCAGTGAGCAAAACTGACATGCTCAGTCTTACGTACCTCTATATTAGTAACTACCGTGACATCCTGCATAATACAGCTAGGAAACAGCACCAGAACCTCAATCCTTCTGGTATCAGGATGATTTTTTAAGCAGGCTTAAGCTATGAACAATTAGTGCTAAAAGAAAGATTGCTGTTAAAGACCCTTACAAGAACAGAAAGAGCAACACTTCTGGCTACTGTTCAAACACAAGGCAGATTCTCAGCATTAAAGGCATACTTAATTTAGAGTGATAAAGCGTTATAGATCAACCAGGGCAGCCAGAGACAACCTGTAAAGCTGAACACTATTATATGTCAGATATTAGGAAAGCATATGGGATGAGTACAGTCTTCAGAATGACAAATCACTGAATAACTGCAAATTCAGCATCTGAATTTTAACACAAGTATGTGGGGGAGCTACTGCATATGGCACTAGGAGTCCTTCTATGGCATAATGTGGAAGGCTTTGGTCAACACACTACAAAAGGTGAATCTGGATGAATGAGTGCAAAGAAGACTGCTAAATACATAGGAATAGGAAGTCTAACTAGACTAGAAAACTGTAGCTTGTTTACTGTAATAAAAATCAGAGAAGTTATGACTGTTTTCTTGCATTCTCTCTGGGAATAAGCATGAGTCAGAAGAAAAGTAATTTTAGTTATAGGACACTAAATCCAAGCTGTCCATAAATTGTTTTGGTCTTGAAAGCAGAAAACTGAGTAGATGGACAAACCTAAAAGAAAATTGTTATGAGAGGGAGTGGGTATTACATAACAATAAAGCCCTATCCCTAAGAACGAGCACATATATTCAGACTTATAATACATCCTGCATGGCAAGGTAGAGGATTTAGGAAACAAGTCACAATTAAAGTTTAGGAATCTCTCTAAAATGGATATATATATATATATTAAAAAAAAAAAAAAAAAAAAAAAAAAAGATAAGAATTTTGGGAAAAAAAAAATAATGTAGCACCAGGAACACATATCTATAAATTCATGTGGTAGTTAGTATATGTTTCATCAGTGTCCTGTTTCACATGGAAGTAACTAGGCAGAAAGAAAAAGAAAATAAGTATATCTTATATGTGAATTATGTTAATTCACAGTAGGTCATGTAATGTGTTTTTGTTTTTTAAAAGATTTAACAACAAAAAGAACTATACAAAAGAGGCTTTAAATAGCCTTTTTCTGACTCACCTTTACTATGCAAACACCCATAATTCAGACGACATTTTTCTACAAATTTAGTATCTCCTGTGTAGTCTGAGGCTGGCTGTTGGAGGACAATTTAAAAGTCAATGCATTTTTCAGAAGTAGACATCATGATCTATGAGCAATACTCACAATTCAATTAATTCTTTCAGACTGATAAAGGTAATAATGGTGATACACTCAATTTAAATTGTCATAAGGTGTTTCACTTGATACCAAATGACCTTCTGATTATTAAGAACGCAAAATGACACAAAATCTGTATTAAAAATTAAACATCATTCAAATTCAAATGGATTAAAACATGCTTATTAAGAAAAGGTCAAAAGCCTAAATTCAAACTAAGAGCCCAAATATTTTATTTAAATATGCACAATACTGTGTAATAAGAAATACTGCTTACCTTCCCTCAAAGACAGTTTATTTTTCTATTTTTTGAAGTTAAAATGCTGGAATTTCACTGATGGGTAAAGATTTTTTCCACAGAGTTGTGAAAGGCTCACTGGAATTTGTGCAGAAATTTCTTCATCCATAGGTAAAATCACCTTACAGAACTGATATGATTTGAGCAAATTAATTGTTTGGATAGCCCAGTGAAAACATGGCTTCTGATTGCTTTCTCTTAGGTGGAATCTGCAGGTGGTCTGGCATCACAGAAGCTGTGTGCTCTTCATGCAGAGGGTCCTCACTGTTTGTGAGAATTGGCTTCTATGAGATTAAGCCTGAGGTGGCTTTTTATAGCCTTCCTCAATCATTCAAGCAGACTAAAAAGGCGGTGAACTCCAACCTCTGTTTCTTCAAATCTCCTCTCTGCTGTGATGCCTACGAAAAATTGAGAAGGAAGTGGTAGCTGACGGCTTCTGTCAATAGTGTTGCCAATGTGGTTTTGTTATTACTTGTGTTCCCCAGCTGTCTCTATCCAATTTCTGTCTCCTGTAAGCTGTATGCAATGGGTCCTGAATGCGTGCAATGTGGAGGAAAATGGAAACTTGGTGATTATGTACAATCTTGTAATAGAAAGAAATAATAATTCCTCCAACAACATTTAAATCCCAATTCTCATCCAAACACTAACCACAATGCCTGCCTCCCCCGTAACACACACAATTGCTAATTCAACCAGGGCAAGGTAAAAGCATTTTTTATTTTTTTTCCTCCCACACCTTCATCATAAAAGCTTTCTAAGGATATAGGCAGATGCACATTTTGTCTGCATAAAGTCATTGCATGAACTTATGGACAGAGAGGATATAAAAACATCTCTCATGGAAAAAGTCCAGCTTGGCCTTTAAAAGCAATAAAGCCCTTAATTGAAATCTGCTGAACAAACATTATCTGCTGGAGTGCTAAGTGCATTTAGGTTTTCCTGTAAATGGGAAATATGACCATAGCGAATTCTGTTTTCAGTGGAATTGTTTCACCAAACCTTTGCTTGCCCAGGCATTTTTTTGGCAGAACAACTGGGAGGAAAGAACGTAAAAGACCAAGGACGCTTGTAGCCTACTCCTGAAGTTCAGCTGCAACATAGAGTGATGCCCTGGACAGTAGCTCCAGGGCAACACTCCAGTAGCCTCTCCAGCCCTGAACATGAGCACTCCTAGTGCAGGACCGCACCTCTCCATCACAGTGGGAGTGAGGGAGGCAAGAGGAAGGGGAGCCCTGCAAGATCTGCTCTGACCTGTATCAACAGCATGCTATTGATGGGCATAGTGGTTCTGGGGCATTTCAAAGGGCAACAGCAGAGGTGTGAGCGTTTTCTGAACACAGATACAGACAGACACAGATCCAAACCATAAGGCTAAGAGTGAGCTAATATATTCCAAAGGCTTAAATATCTGTTTATAAACATGATTTTCATATTTAGTCAGATTACCTCTTTCCATTTCACTCCTCCATTTCACATGTACATTTTACAATGTAATAATTAAGAAAGTACCATCTGTATAACAAAAACCCCAGAAACAACTGCAGAGCCTCTGATTATTAGCTCACATTCCCGAGGAGTACAGTACACATAAATGTTTTCCTGAAGGAAACCCATCCATATTCTTGATAGGATTCTTTCTTTTGTGCTGTCCTAACCCCGCAAAACACCATCTTACCCTATCTTAACATCTCACAGTCTTTAATGTATTTATTCCAACAGGAGACCTGTAAAGTGAGAGTCTCTGTCACCCTGTTTGACTCATGGGAACTGAAACCGGGCGACACATCTGCACAGTCAAGCAAGGCAATGCTCAAGTCACCTCCCTCCCCAGCTCCCACATCACCTGCACTGCCTAACGTTAATTCAGTGCTGGTTTCTGATTTGAATTAGTGGGCAAGGGAAGATAATTCATGCCACGGGCCACTGCTAATGCCAAGGTTAGCAGTGCTTGCTTGTGTCTATGCTAAACTATCCTCAGCTTCCCAGTAAGCCATGTATTCCTAAACTATGTATTCCTAGAGGTAGTCTAAGATATGCAACACCTACCATCAGTTTTGTGTGTGAAAAAATATCTCCTTTGTAAACTAGAGCTTAACTATCAGTTCACATAAGCTGAACTAACATTACCCCCAAATCCTACAGAAAACAACAATAACAACTAAGTTTTGGGACCACCACAGGTGGCTGATAAGAGACCCAAGACAAGTCGGTCCTGGCCCACCTACTTGAGAGGTGGTGGAATCTGAACCACTTGGCTGTCATGGCACTCCAGAATGTGGTCCCTCTTCCTGGCATGTGGCCAGATGGCCCTCAAGAGCTGCCAGGGAGGAACAACACCCCCCAGCCAACCCCACTCCTTCACCTGGGAAACGATGTTACACCAAGTCTTAACATTGACCTAGGAGGCAGAGGTTTCTCCCTAGAGATGATGTATATTATATAACTGAAAAGATTACATGATCGACCTAAAGTCATGCCAGAGGCTTCTGACAGACACCTAGGACTTCTCAGTTCCTTAATTATTAAAATTTAATGTTCACCCCAGAGCAGCCCTGCCAGCTGTTACAAAGCACACATGGTACCTATATGGCTGAAGACTACAAGGAGGAGGTGCTTCCTGACTACTGGGAAATTGTGGCTTTCCAAGCACCAACACTCGTTATCTGCAAGCCATGTGGCTATGCATGGGGGCACCTGGTGTCCTCCCTGCCAGCCAGGTGCTGCCAGTGCTCAGTTGGCATTGAAAAGGAGGTTGCGCTTCATCAAAGTCACCCATGTTGATCTAACGGCAGAGCTCCCCTTACTTCATCTGGCAGGTATACAACTAATTTTCTGTCTGTCTCATGAGATCGCAGGAACATGTGACATATGACAAAACAACTGTATCTCTTTATAATGTAAGTGATGTGCTCAAAAGTGAGTCACAATCATTGCTAGTGACTGATGATGGCTACAATGTCTCAGCTGATATAACTGAATAAATTCCACATAGCTAAACATAACTGATGTATTTCTATATCACAACACTTCAAATAAGGGGCTGTTTAAGGATATTTACTCTGCCTTTTATTTTTTTTAATTTATTGTTTACTGAAAGTGAGGTGTGGACAGCCACAGAAGGTGAAGTGAAGGTGAACTTCATTTGTTCATGAAGCTGATAAGATTGTTCCTGTTTTATCCACACATTGTAGACAATGGTTATCTTAAAAGCCGTACACTATACACATCATGTAACACAAAAAGTGGGTTATATTCCCAGACACCAAGAAAATACAACCTCCAACACCAACCAGTATGTTACAGAACTTCTATCTGAGTTCAGCAAACTAAAGTTGATGAAACCCCATAGAAGTTACACTAGTTTCATACTGAACACTGTAATGAACACCCTTTTCTATTTTAAATATTTCTAAAGATTAAAAAGAAAGGGCATTTTGATGGACAGCATAGTTTAATTTCATTCTTTAATAAGAAGTAAGCAAAAATTGGGGCACTTCACACTGAAGATATTTTAAATATAAGCTTTATATATTAAGAGGGTAGATTTTCCCTCTAAAATACAGAAAGATCATTTGCACTTGAAAACAAGTCATAAAGATATGTGTGTCCAGACTTAATTCCAAATCTACTTACTGATATTTCTTTCTTTTCTGCTGTGACCCTTTACATTATCTTCAGGGTTGGTTTGGGTTTGTTTGGTTTGGTTTGGCTTTGGTTTAATAGATAATCCTTAAACCAAAATCAAAAGCCCATGGAGGAAAAATGTGTTATTGGAACATAAGCTTATCTAGTATTTCTTCTCTTTCTGTGATGTCCTCTGGTTTTCAGTTAGAAAAAAAAAAAAAAATGCTATAAAAAACTACTTAACTACTTCTAATTGCAAATTCAGTCATCTTCATTCATCAGAATTAAGCATAGGCTTCAAAGTTAATTTGGGAGCACACTGCCGGGTTAACACCACAGAAACAAAAGTAATAATAAAAGCAAGGATTGTAGAACTACAATTCCTACCTTCCTACCAAACAAACAATAAATTTATTTATTTCCATGTTTCAGGCAGCACTGATACAGCCTGATACATTTTGTACTGCATTTTATATACATGTACATTTAAGTTTTTATATTAAGGTTTTGTTATTAGATAGACCGCAGTCTGACCATATATTATAGATATTTCAAGCAATGTTTTTTGTAGTCTGTGTCAGTGTGGGACTAAGCACAACAAAATACGCATTAAAATCTTGACTACTACTGTAACAAACTCATTTACACTGCAAGTAGTTCCTGCCAATCTCTGAGATATACTGGCCACAAATTCCCCTACTTTATGAAACAGAGACTCCCTTTGAGTTATGAATTCAGGACTAATACAAAGCCAACAGCCTATCCTGCACATGTCAAGATACTGTCATTCAGGTGACTGCTGGCCTCTTGACTCCTTGACTTCTAGAAACTTTGAACCAGTTCATTTAGTAATGCACAAAAGAACTCAGATAAAAGGCAAGACTTTGTGTACTAGGTCTTGGCCAGGTATTGTAATTTTCAATTTAGGGCTCTTGAATGCTATGAGTACATGTAGTTAAATACCTCCTAGCAGTATAAATAAACAAATAAAAGTAAGGGTCATGAAAAATGACATTATGGCTGTATTTTTCAATATTAAAACCCATGATTTCATTAATAAAAGATGTGTATGTGCATGTATATTTCTATTTCTATATATGCATGGATAGTGCATGCATCAGTATTAACCAAAAGACATCAAAATAAATACAGATTAAAGCTAAAAGATTCATTTTGATAGGAGGCAATTAAGATGGCTGGCAAGCCTTATTTACACATTTCCTGTGTTTCTATATATTTAAAGAAACATCAAAGGCTTTTAACAAGAAAATTATATTCTCACAGCCATGAAGTATACTCTTTTGATTACATTACAGTGGCTGTACAATACAACTTCTTTGCTTGCTGACAATGAGTTTTGCTATGTTAATTAAATAAGTAATGTGTCTGTGATCTTTATTCATTAAAATTAATGCAATAATATCTATGCTGTAGGCTCATATTGCACTCAATCTGGCAAGCCGAATGAAATGGCTTCACTGGAGTTACCCTAAGCTTATTCTTGATGTAACACAGAGCTCTGACAGGAGTTTCTGTGAGAAATTGGTTTACCCTTGCATCTCTTGATATTATTCCCTGTCAGCAGCTTGAATGTCTTTGGAGGAGGTGAACATGCCCCATATTAGCTGACGCTACAAAGTGCAAGTCACCACTTGTTATAAGGCACAGGGCAAGAGACATGGGGCCCGCGTGTGATGGAGGACGTGCAGCATCACCGCCAAGATCTGTAGTCCAGCCAGGGGCGAAAGCTGTTGGCTGGAAAAAGCCCAAA